CAGTTCGCGAAAATGGAGTTTGGGAATTTTTCCTATCACCGATTTTCAATTTTCGCGCGCTTCGATACAACGATTTTTATTTTAGATGCATACGTTTCGATCATTGTATTCCTTCCAACGAGTGCTACAATGCTTCCTCCATCCACGCTTAATCGGTTAATTTTAATAAAATTCGCGAGAACGGATTTTGGGATTTTTTCTTATCACCGATTTTGAATTTTCGCGCGCTTCGATACAACGATTTTTATTTTAGATGCATACGTTTCGATCATTGTATTCCTTCCAACGAGTGCTACTATGCTTCCTCCAACCACGCTTAATCGGTTAATTTTAATGAAATTTGTGAAAACGGATTTTGGAAATTTTTCCTATCACCGATTTTGAATTTTCGCGCGCTTCGATACAACGATTTTTATTTTAGATGCATACGTTTCGATCATTGTATTCCTTCCAACGAGTGCTACAATGCTTCCTCCATCCACGCTTAATCGGTTAATTTTAATAAAATTCGCGAGAACGGATTTTGGGATTTTTTCTTATCACCGATTTTGAATTTTCGCGCGCTTCGATATAGCGATTTTATCGTGGATGCAGAAATTTTTTTGGGGGGATTAATTTTTCTCTGTATTACGAGATTTGTAGTTCTGATATTTTCTGTTTTCTATGTTTAGATTTGTGTAGATATTTTTAATATTTTTAATGTTGTATGATTATATAATATAATATAATAGTAATGCAATAAGTGTATTTTTAATATTTTGAAAGAACCGTTGGAGAGGTTGTATATAGTAGTAAGTATTTGGTATAGTAGTGGTATAGTATAGTAATAAAGTTTATTTACATTAGGGAACTTGAGTGAGGTATTGTAAGAGATGCTCTAGAAATTTTGTGGCTTTTAATGAGACCCACTTTTGACTTAGATTATGTTAATATAAATAATTTAAAAATGACAATTAAAATGTTTTTAAAATATTTCCCACTGCTTCTTATGTACTTTTAATATTTTAACAACTTCTTATAAATTTTGGGACTTTTGTAAGTTTCAATAGAATATTGACAAACGTGATATGATTTATGTCGATAACTGCTTCTATTTGTCACCTGTCATTGAAAATATCGTACATTTCAACCTAATAAATCAGAATTTGGAATAAGGAAGAAAGATTTGCAACTGAATTAATCTTAATTCAACAGAAATTCACGAAGTCACTGCAGAAATATCAAAACGAGTATAAATTCCAAAATTCTCCATCCACGGAACAGTACTTTCATCCTATATAAAAATTTACTCATTTATTACACTACTATGAAACATAATTTAATTAAAATTCCGTTTTAAATCGGAATAAAATCGGATTATATAAATTTAATCAGAGCCTCGGATCCCATTCAAGAAATACAACAAAACCACAGCCAATACCCCTAGAAACAGCAAAAAAATTACGAATATTTAACTAAAGCACGATTCTCGGCCAATATTAATAAAAATTCCTATAATCTATAATTCAAACGAAAATTAAAATTAAAATTAAGAACGGTTCTCTGGAAGCAAAGTTTACCCAAAGCACAATTTATCACAACCTCGAATCCCATTAAAACCATAATATCATCGTTAATATCCTTATAAACATCGAAAAATGTCGAATATTTAATAAAAATAGAATTCACATTAGCAATAATTTCAATTTGACTTCGATCTCCAAAACAATCATAATCTAATATCAAAACAATGTTAGCTAATAAAAATAAAATAAAAATTCCTATAACCTATAACTCAAACGAAAATTAAAATTAAAATTAAGAACGGTTTTTCAGAAATAAACTGTACCCAAAACAGAATTTATCCAGAATCTCGAATCTCATTAAATACCATAATACCACTGTCAATATCCTTATAAACATCGAAAAATTTCGAATATTTAACAAAACTAAGATTCACATTAATAACAATTTCGATTTGACTTCGATCCCCAAAACAATCATGATGCAGTATCAAAACAGGGTTTTCCACGATCTTAATAACAATTCCTATAATCTACAATTCAAACCAAAATTAAAAATAAAATAAAAATTAAAATTAAAATTAAAATTAAAATAAGAACGGTTTCCTATAAATAAATTTTACCCAAAACACAATTTACCCAGAACCTCGAATCCCATTATATACCATAATACCACCGTCAATATCCTTATAAACATCGAAAAATTTCGAATATTTAACAAAATTAAGATTCACATTAATAACAATTTCGATTTGACTTCGATCCCCAAAACAATCATGATGCAGTATCAAAACAGGGTTTTCCACGATCTTAATAACAATTCCTATAATCTACAAATCAAACCAAAATTAAAAATAAAATAAAAATAAAAATTAAAATTAAAATTAAAATAAGAACGGTTTCCTAGAAATAAATTGTATTCAAAACACAATTTTCCCAGAATCTCGAATCCCATTAAATACCGTAATATCACTGCCAATATCCTCATAAACATCGAAAAATGTCGAATAATTAACAAAAATAAGATTCACATTAGCAATAATTTCGATCCCCAAAACAATCCTAATCCACTATCAAAACAATGTTAACCGCGTTCTTAATAAAAATTCCTATAATCTATAACCCGAACCAAGATGAAAATCAAAATGAAAATTAAAATTAAAGTTAAAAATGGTTTCCCAGAAGTAAACTTTACCCAAAACCTCGAATCGCAACGAATACGCTAACACCACAGCCATTATCCCCACAAACCGCGTAGAAATGCGGAACATGAACAGAAACAGGGTGAAAATTGACGACAATTTGGAAACAACGGTGATCCGTCGTGAACCGCGCGCAGTCCGCGTTCATATTTAAGGCGAGGTTACAAACCGCGACGCGCCTCGAAACTTTTATTAGTCGCTCCATAATGCATCGCTGGAAATCAGTTTGTTATCCCGGTATCGAGCACCCGCGCCTCCAACTGTTGCACAAGAGTGGGCCGATCGCGCGAACGCGTGTCGGCGTGTGATCCGCGATAAAAAGCAGCGTCCAAAGAAGCGGGAAGAACAACGGCGAAGAAGACGAAGTGGCCCGAGACAAAAAGCCCCGAAACGCGTAACGACCGCGCGGCGAGAGGGGGCCCATAGTAGAAATTTAGCGCGGGTAACGCGAGCATAACAAATGTGACACCGATCGTCAACAAAACCCTGGCTCCCATCCAAACCGGCATTAACACGCGTGCAAATTACCCCGACGAATAACGAAAAACCGTCCCAACCGATTTCCATTACACCGGAAAGCAAACCCACGACTACGTACCAAACAGGAAGTTCGTAGCGAAAAAAGAAGGAAAAATAGAAAAGAAGAAGGAAAAACGCGACCACCCTTCCCAAACGGCGCGTATCCGCGCGAGGATCCCGCGTACCGTCGCGAGACTGTCGGTCGGACCGCGCGAGAAACGGTTCGCGGCGATCGAGACAGAGACGAAGGATCTCGGCGGCCACGGGGGAACGGTAGCGCGAGAGAGAAGCAGCGTGCGCGACGGAGAGGGCAGCACTCGTACGCGCAAGAGTATACACACAGCCTAAGGCCAGCGCGCGTGTAACTGCACGCGAAGGGAAGGGAGAGCGAGCGAGGCGAGAGCAGATGCCGGCCGCCAGACAGAGAGCGACGTGCACGCCAGCACGGCGCGACAGAGAGGGGGAGCGCGTTACCCCCACCACGGGGGTGAAAACTACCCCGAGAGCGCGTGGGGTGTCCGGCCTCGGCGCCGAGGCGAACCGAGCGCGTCCGAAGTGAGCGCAGTGCCCGACACACCAGGTCCCGCACGGCACGACTAGGCGCACCGTCCGGCACAGTCCACTCAGAGATACGACCCATGCTGGACCATCGTCGCTCTGGTCCACGCCGGCATCAGGCATCCAGCATCCGCGCGTCAGGCCACACGCTGAGACAACGGCTGCAGCTCGTCGGGCAGGACACGCGACGCGCTCGTCCAGGGAGGTGCGCGTTGTCCGCCTCGTACGTGTTGGCGACCGGAAGGACAAGGGACCAACGTCGTCGTCCGTGGGACCCACGTCGCGAGCGTCGCGCGATGCGACCGAGCGAGGCCAGTGAGGACGGTAGAGTCGGTGGAACGCGTGTGTAGTCTCGCGCGCTTTTTCGTGGCTATCGGCGAGAGAAGACAGGACCCACCGCGGTGTGTGCGCGACACCGGGAGCAGCAGCGTGTTGCGGTAGGCGAGTGAGTCGGTTGGCGAAGCGGACAGTTGCCGCGCCGACGACGTCAGGACGCGCGTCGTTTTGTTCCTCCTCTTTTCCGTTCTTTCGTTTTTCCTCGCGTTCTTATCCCGGGTGAGACAGGTGAGCGGGAGGAAGGCGCGGAGAGAGGAGAGGGAAGAGAGGTGATCGAACGACGAAGAAAACGAGGAGTGGATCCGTTGGCATGATCGCGAGTTCGTGTGACACCGTGTGACTCTCGGACGACGCGCGACGGGCCACACAGCTGGCCCGCGACACCGCGGTCACCCTGTTGCCGCTCAGACATACGTCCGCGTGGTGAAACTGCCGGGATCGTCTGGATGGAACCCGGTGCTGGGCCCGTGGAGTCCTCGCGAGCTACCTGGCCCGCACAGTGAATCCAGTTCGCGAAGTGTCTCTTGTCCGAGCGTCGACACACGCAGGACGACACCTCTGGCCGACGTCGGTGTGCCGCGTATGTGTGCGCCGCGACGCGTGTCGTTACGCCGAACGCCAGCAGAGGTACACGATGAGGACGAACATTAGTTGACGAAGAAGTGCGTCCCGGCCGACTGTCAGTCCCGTCCTCGTCGCGGCCAGGTGCACCAGACGATCGGACGGACAGTGAGATCAGTCAGAAACGTAGACAAAGGACAGACAGACAGCGAGAGTGAAATCGTACCGGGGAGCCAGTTCGGTGGACAAACTCGAAGATAGGATCGGGTTGCTCGGGAAAGGGTGCTTCGAGGGGGGCCCGCGAGCTCGACAATCGTCGGAAGTGAAGTTCTCCACGGTGGAAACAGGTGAAACGTCGGATGGACTCGTTTAACCGCGGCGACACCGCGGGGCGGAGGTGAGGGGGAGGAGGACAGAAGCATCGACGACCGTCCGATTTCCTTGGGCCAGCTCTAGGTCCTCGCCTCCCCCTTTTCTTCACGCCGTCAGGTGAAAACGTGTCGTGGTACGCGGAGCAATCGCTGGCGATCCTCGCGACTACCGCAAACACGGCCATTCGACCGCGGAACCACCTTCCGTCCTGGACGGCCCAAGGACCCGTAGACCCGAGGCATAGTTCCTGCCACCTGCCACCAAGATCGACGAACGTCACCATGAGGATCAAAATGCCCGCGGTCAGGATCGCGCAAGGTGAGTGCAACTCGAGAACACCTCGGTCCCAACCGGCCGTCGCTTCGCTTCTTCTCGCGACGTCTTCCCTTCCTAGCAATCGTCGTATCGCCAGTCCTAGCTTCTCGGAAAATACCCTATCATTTTGGTGTCCGCACGCTTTGTTCGTTGGACACGCGACGTGTCTCCTCAGTGCTACCGTCCAGTGAAAATGAAAACGTGCGCCGATAGGAAAAATTCTAGCGAAACGAACGTGCAAAGTGCGATGTCTATGGAACTCTGGCTTCCTCGTCGGTCATCCTTGTATACGTTACACAGACCTCAAATGTCACGGCGACCTGGTTTGTTTCCCTTCGGACGAGAATCCGAATTATCTGTTAAATAACAGACGGAAGAACGCGCGGTCCTTCAACGGCAAATTTGAAACGTCCTTGAAGCTAACGTCAGAGGTTACCAGCGTTATAATCGCGTGTATTTGCGAATGCTAGTCGATCGAACGAGAACACGACCGGTGATCTCGTGGCCTTTCTGGCCAAGTGCGTACTAAGAGCAGCGGCTGCGAAGGAACGGGGGAAAATGGGAAAAACCGGGGCGGGAAAAAGGAAGAGGAATCGGTAGGAGTCGCGTGGCCGCGGCAGGGAAAAATAAAAGACGCGCGTGGACGTCTCCGTAGACGACGGAGAGCGGCGGAGCGAGCGAGAGACGCGGTGCCCAGTGACGTTACGAAGAAACGTGGCGAAAGAAAGAGAAAGGGAAGGGAAGGAATGAATGAACCGGGGCTGGCGAGGGTGGCGGGAAAGCGGGGTAGCAGGCCAACGTCTTCGGAGAACTCGTCGCCGGCTGAATTTTTAATTAGTCCCGGACACCCCGCGCGCGGTTGGGGGGTTGGAGCGAAGAAGGTGGAGGAGAAAGCGGGCGGCCAAGGCGGAGGTGGAGAAATAACCGGGGGCCGAGGGGGTGGGTTGGACAAGGAGGGGCGGCATTGTCATGCGCGCGTTTTTCACAGACTTTTCCACCCCCGGCCGTGCCGGGACACCCCGTCGGCACACACCCTGCCCCGCGTCGCCGCCAGCCGGCTGCTGCACCCCTCGCCCCACGGAGAGAGAGCTGCTGCGGCGGCGGCGGCGGCGGCGACGGCGGCTCCGTTTTCTTAATTACAACTGCGATATTCTTTAGTTCGCGCGATGACGCCGCCGCGAAAAGATACCGGAATATTTCTCCACCGATTAACCCCGGCTTCGCCGCTCTCTCGCGCCTCCTGCAGGCGCGTCGATCGATGGACGGGGAGCTGTCCGATGGGTCCGGTCGCTCCACCTGTCCACACCTGTGTCGTTGTCGTGTGTTCGCTGGGTAGTAGGGCCTGTGGTACGAGTGTACCGGTCCCATCGCGCTTCTTCTCACGGATCCGGGCCGTGATCGGTGACCACCGCTAGCTACTAGGCCCTGTCAGTGTCGCGAAGTGGTCCTCTCGGAGGTGGAGCTACGTACGCATGTCTGGCACGGGATTGTGAAATCGCTGGAGACATACTCTCTGGTAGTCGGAGGTGACGATAAACGAAATGTGCTCGATCGCGGACACGCACGCGTCGCGTGATCTACGAGCTCGCGAGGGCCTCACGCGTGGCGATAGGTGAGTCGCTCGATCGGGTCCTAGGATTTTCGTAGGTTCTTCGATATGATAGGATGGTGATCGGAGGAATTCGGGTGTGTGCTTGAGACGCAGGGTAACCGGAACTCGCGCCTGGCCTAACCGATCAGCCGACGACTCGACTCGAGAGATCGCGAGGCGAACCTTTAAATTTCTGTTTGCAAATGCGGATTATCCTTCGTAGCCACCGAAGCGACTACCACTCCTGTTTACATCGCGATTATCCGCCTTCCAGCCTGTCCTACATACGTGTAATCAAGTAAATAGATCACGCGTTCAGCCTCGCCGTCGATCGCTCAACTGCGAGTATTATCGCCGATTGAAAATTGTGGCTTCACGTAAATTGTGCAATTACGTATTTCAGATATTTCGTGCATTTTTATGATGTCGTAGTGAAAGGAATTTTCTCTTTTCGAGGGTGGCAGTCTCGGGGATTTTCAGTTTGAGAGATTGGTCGTGTGATTTAAATTTTGGGATTTTTGTTTATCGAGACTCGCTTTTTATTTCCATCTTCGGATTCCAGGTTTTGGTAGTCCCTGTGTCTCTGGTTCGACGTGAAGTAGGATTTTTAATTTTGCGTAGGGTTATTTTAGAATTTTTCTTTCTCTTGGTTTTGGTATTTGTTATGACGTGTCCGTGTCGTGAGAAATTCGTGGAATTTTCGAGCATTCTGATTGTGAGTTTAAGATATGATTAGCAGAATTCTGAAACTTTTGTTGGTGAATCTGAATTCGAATTTTTGGTACCGTATTATCGTTTGGTTTCCTAAATTTAATTATTAAGCATAGAAGATAAGAAAATTTGTGCGATATTGATGAAATATTCGCTGTGAGAACGCTATACTTATGTATATTCTTAATCTAATACGTGATATATAAAATTTACATCTAGAATTTATTTGAAAACGAAAGAAATCTTTGAAATTCAATATTTATTATAACAATTTTCTGTAAATATAGAAACACGTTTCTAATGACACAGAATCATTTTTATTTCCACTTACGAACGTTGTATCGTAATTATATAAAATTCCTTTTCATTTTAACCTCTTCAAAAACGAATTTTTAAAAGTGGACGAAAATCTGTTTAATTTCTTTTACGTCGATGACAATTCAGTAAGTATTCGACGAGGTATAGTTCTCCAACCTATTCTAATTTTCTTTTAATGTATAATAATCATAATTTAAAAGAATATAAACCTACACCAATCTTAGTATCAAAAATTTTACGAAGATATAACATTCAAGAAATTAAGAAATTTATTCTTACTGTAATTACAAATCTCCATAGCAACGAATCAAAATAATTGATCTACCAAGAAACTCGTAATAATTTTCTCCATATAAATCTATTCTATCAATTTTAAACTCACCAAATTCCATACCAAATTCTTCTATTTATTCCTGCCCCAGCTTGTCAAACTCAAAACCCATCAACTTCAACCCTGTACCCCTGAAAATAAAATTTTCAATTTAATTTATTCAATTATATTTCAACCTAGTAAATTTCTGTATCAAAAATCTCTCAGATTTTACATTAAAGAGATTAACAAAAATACTTCTAGATATTTATTTATATTTACTTCACTCATAATTTCTTCTATTTACTCCTCCCAAGCTTGTAAAACTCAAATCCCATCAATTTCAACCCTGTACCCCCTGAAAATAAAATTTTCAATTTAATTTATTCAATTATATTTCAACCTAGTAAACTTCTGTACCAAAAATCTCTCAGATTTGACGGTAAAGAGATTAACAAAAATATTTATAGATATTTATCTATATTTATTTCACGAAATAGCATCCTTCTAATTTCGTATTTATTGATATCGACAAAATCGGACGTTATCAGTAGCGTAGGAAGGATCGTCGGTGCCCGGTTACACTTCCGAATACCGAAATAAACAAACTATTTATATCAGGACATCGAGCAGGCGAGTGGAAATTTTCGTGATCGATCGGGAAGAGTTTATCAGCGACGATCGTTCTCGAAATCCAGCTCCCGTCTCTCTTTCTTCTTCCCTCGAGCGATCTTCTTCGCACGTCGACGATCGGCGATTAAAGCCATGGCGCGACCCGTTATCGGAATAAGCAAATTCCCAATTAAGATACGAATCGTATATCGAGCGTTGTACGGGATCGTGACGCTCCTGTTCGATGGAACGAGGCAGCTGTTCGGACGCGGAACAGCGCCGGATCGGCGAGCATCGGAAAATCGCGTAACGAACGAGTCGCCGGCATTGCCGGTTTAATTCTCACTTCCCTGTGCACTGTATCGCTTATGCGTGCAGGTAGGTGATAAGAAAGGAAAGGGAAAGGTTGCAAGCGTTCTAAATATTCCTCCTTTCGCCATCGGACCTGCGCAATTTTACCTATTTGGTCGATCCTCGAATCGGTCATTCGTGACAATTGTTTCTGAAAATGAAGGATTTTTGCTGACAAGGAGAGTGCGAGTCCCTCGGGTCGTAGATTTAGTTGAAACTTTGCAGGTTTGTAGATTCAGTCATCCAGTTCAAGAAGGTATATCGTTATAAGGGCAACTAGTCGATAGTTTTCGTGATATTTGTGATTAGAGTTTTATTATTGCCTTAACCCTTTCTCGATGGAGTACCTGTACCATAATTCGCCATTTTTCGCGACCACGCGATTGACCATACTTTGTCGACGGCACAACTGAACGCCATACTTTGCCACCATTTTCTGCGTTGCGTAATGCCTGTACTAGCTTCATTTTGAGTTCGCTGTTGAAATAAAATAGTACTATAATTATGATTTGCCGCTGTAAACCAATAAATGACTGTCGTATATATACGGCGTTAGCCGCTGTGATGCACCAAGTGACTGTCGTATATATACGACACCCGTCGCGAAATGGTTAACCCTTTGCACTCGGCGATTCTTTCGTTACAGAAAAATAGTAATTCGAAGACTTTCTACCACGAAGTCGACGATATTTTTAAAACGGTGTATAAGAAATCGTATGCAAATTAAGACGTAGAATTATTTTATTTCGACATTCTACGCGACACTGGGTAATTTTATGCGAGATATATTAATTATCATCGATCTTTCGAATCAGATTAAATGGCGACTGAGGATCGCCCCTCGAGTGCAAAGGGTTAATTACAGATGTATTTTGAATATTCGTCAAGTGCCCTTGTGGCCTAATATCTGAAAATGTTACTGTTAGGCCACGATGTCTCTTGATAACTATCGATGACTATCTCTAGTTAAGAATAATAAAGCTTTAATCATAAATATCTCGAAAGCTATTGACTAGTTGCCCTTATAGTGGTACATTTTGTTGAACTGGATGACTAAATCCACAAACTTGCAAAATTTCAACTAAATCAATGACCCAAAGGACTTGCACG